CTAGAAGTTACGTATTGCTACAAATTCAGGTCTAGTAGCAACCCAGGGTTCAGTATAAATAAGTGCGCGCGGTCTGGTACTAGGTCTGGTGTACAACTAGGTCTGGTATAAACCAGGATCTATCACAAATTAGGGTCTAGTACAGCAGGGTTCAGTATGTATTCAGGGTTCACTATATTCAGGGTCTACCACATTCAGGGTTCAGTACAACCAGGGGTTCAGTGTAAGGGCCAGGGTTGACCACAAATTGGGGTTCAAGTGCAGTTCAGGGTCCAGTAAGCTTCAGGGTTCAGTATAACCATGGTTCACCACATTCAGGGTTCAGTACAAATTAGGTTCACTACAACCAGGGGGTCTACCATATCTAGGGCCAGTCAACCAGGGTTCAGGTGTACAATTCAGGGTTCAGCATAACCAGGGTTCACTTGACCAGGGTTCAGTACAACCAGGTTTCCAGTGTTTCAGGGTTCACTAGGTCCACCACAAACTTGAGTGTCTCACCACAATCTGTGGGCCCACTACAACCAGGGTCCAGCACAACCAGTGTCAAGTACAACCAGTGTCCAGTACAATGAGGCCACAGCCAGGTTCAGTACACCAGGTCCACCAGCCAGGTCTAGTACAACTGAGTTTCAGTATAACTAGGGTCCACCACAACCAGGGTCTACCACAATTCAGTGCCTCTACAAATTCAGGTTTCCAGTATGCACCAGGGTCTACACACCAGGGCCACTACAGCCAGGGTTCAGCACACCAGGGTCTAGTACAAATTAGGGTTCAGTATAACCAGGGTTCAGTACACCAGTTCAGCACAAATTAGGTCTAGTCTATTCAGGGTCCAGTCACCAGGGTTCATCACAAATCAGGGCCCACTACAGCCAGGGTCCAGTACAACCAGTTTCCAGTATAACCCAGGGTCCACACAACCAGGTCCACCACAACCAGGGTCCACCACACAGGGTCCAACAACCAGGGTCCACTATAACCAGGTCACATAACCAGGGTCCAGAACAACAGGGTCCAGAACAACCAGGGTTACCACAACCAGGTCTACCACAACCGGGGACCACCACAACCAGGTCCCACATGTCAGGGTCCACCACAACCAGGATCTACTACAACCAGGGTCCACCACAACAGCTACTCCAGGATCCACCACAGACAGGATCCACCACAGCCAGGATCCACCACAAGCAGGGTCCACCACAACCAGGGTCCACCACAGCAGGCCCACACTCAGGGTCTACCACACCAGGGTCCACCACAACCAGGGTCCACACAACCAGGGTCCACCATAATCAGGGTCAAGCATAACCAAGGTCCAACAACCAGGGTCCACTCACAACCAGGGACCACCACAACCAGGGTCTACCACAGCCAGGATCCACCACAACCAGGATCCACCACAACCAGGGTCCACTACAACCAGGGTCCACTACAACCAGGTTCTACATAACCAGGGTCCACAATAACCAGGGTCCCTACAACCAGGGTTCAACACAACAGGAGGTCCACCACAACCTGGAACCACCACAACCAGGGTCCATCACAACCAGGGACCACCACAACCAGGGTCCACCACAACCAGGATTCACTACAACCAGGATCCACCACAACCAGGATCCACCACAACCAGGGTCCACCACAACCAGGGTCCAACACAACCACTACTGTCCGCACAAAAAACAATCACTACTAAATCCATTTCAACAACAGCAACCAGTATCACAACAACAACAATTACCACCATCATAACAATCATTATCACATTACAACAACCACCACACCACCGCAACAGCAACAACCAAAACAATAATAACCACAAAGCAACAACTACTACCAAAACAATAACCACCAAAACAACCACCATCACAACAACCAACACCAGCACAACAACCACCACTATCACAACAACCACCACCATCACAACAACCACCACCATCACAACAACCACCACCATCACAACAACCACCACCTTCACAACAACTACTACAACCACCATCACAACCCTCACGCTGGTATAAAACAGACGAGTTATACATCATTTAAATCCTGCTGTTAAGTTTTCATGGATTTTTTGAGCCGCGTGGTATTAATTTCATATTCAAAATTTTACAAACTTGGTAAAAATTTGGCTGAATAATTCATATGAGTTTCTGGTGCCGAGACAAAATAACTAGTAATAGCGTTGTATTTAAAAGTCTAAATGGACTATGTACGATTTATTTTGTTGAAGTACTGAGGTCCGTGGAAGACAAGTCACAAGCTGGTATATGACACGAGGTGATGCAAGCAGGTATATGACACGGGGTGATGCAAGCAGGTATATGACACGGGGGTGATGCAAGCAGGTATATGACACGGGGTGATGCAAGCAGGTATATGACATGAGGTGATGCAAGCAGGTATATGACATGAGGTGATGCAAGAAGGTATATGACACGGGTGATGCAAGCAGGTATATGACATGAGGTGATGCAAGCAGGTATATGACATGAGGTGATGCAAGCAGGTATATGACATGAGGTGATGCAAGCAGGTATATGACACGGGTGATGCAAGCAGGTATATGACATGAGGTGATGCAAGCAGGTATATGACACGGGGTGATGCGATAGTATTGATATGAGGTGATGCAAGCAGGTATATGACATGAGGTGATGCAAGCAGGTATATGAGCACGAGGTGATGCAAGCAGGTATATGACATGAGGTATGTATATGACATGAGGTGATGCAAGCAGGTATATGACATGAGGTGATGCAAGAAGGTATATGACACGGGGTGATGCAAGCAGGTATATATGAGTATAAGAAGGTATATGACGGGTGATGCAAGAGGTATATGACATGAGGTGATGCAAGCAGGTATATGACATGAGGATGCAAGCAGGTATATGACATGAGGTGATGCAAGCAGGTATATGACACGGGGTGATGCGGCGGTTATGACATGAGGTAGATGCAAGGTATATGACACGGGGTGATGCAAGGCAGGTATATGACATGAGGATGCAAGAGGTATATGACATGAGGTGATGCAAGCAGGTATATGACATCAGAGGATGCAAGCAGGTATATGACATGAGGTGATGCAAGCAGGTATATGACAGAGGTGATGCAAGCGGTATGATATGAGGTGATGCAAGAAGGTATATGACACGGGGTGATGCAAGAGGTATATGACATGAGGTGATGGTATGTATATGACATGAGGTGATGCAAGTATATATGATATGAGGTGATGTACAGGTATATGACATGAGGTGATGCAAGCAGGTATATGATATGAGGATGCAAGCAGGTATATGACACGGGGTGATGCAAGCAGGTATATGACATGAGGTGATGCAAGCAGGTATATGACACGGGGTGATGCAAGCAGGTATATGACATGAGGTGATGCAAGCATATATGACATGAGGTGATGCAAGAATATATGACACGGTGATGCAAGTAGGTATATGACATGAGGTGATGCAAGCAGGTATATGACATGAGGTGATGCAAGTTAGTACATGACACGGGTAATGCAAGCAGGTATATACAGGTGATGATAGTATATGACATGAGGTGATGCAAGCAGGTATATGACACGGGGTGATGCAAGCAGGTATATGACACGGGTGATGCAAGGTATATGACACGGGGTGATGTAAGCATATATGAACGAGGTGATGCAAGGTATATGACATGAGGTGATGCAAGCAGGTATATGACACGGGTGATGAAAGGGAGTATGACACGGGGTGATGCAAGCAGGTATATGACACGAGGTGATGCAAGCAGGTATATGACATGAGGTGATGCAAGCAGGTATATGACACGTAAGATGCAAGAGGTATATGACACGGGTGATGCAAGCAGGTATATGACGTGAGGTGATGCAAGACAGTATATGACAAGAGGTGATGTAAGCAGGTATATGACACGGTGATGCAAGCAAGTATATGACACGGGGTGATGCAAGCAGGTATATGACACAAGGGTGATGCAAGCAGGTATATGACATGGGGTGATGCAAGCAGGTATATGACATGAGGTGATGCAAGCAGGTATATGACACGGGTGATGCAAACAGTATATGACATGAGGTGATGCAAGCAGTATATGATATGTGATGCAAGCAGGTATATGACACGAGGTGATGCAAGCAGGTATATGACATGAGGTGATGTGCAAGGTATATGACATGGGAGTATGCAAGCAGGTATATGATATGGGTGATGCAAGCAGGTATATGACATGAGGTGATGCAAGGGTATATGACATGAGGTGATGTCAAGCAGGTATATGACATGAGGTGATGCAAGCAGGTATATGATATGAGGTGATGCAAGTATATGACATGAGGTGATGAAGCAGGTATATGACATGAGGTGGATGCAGAAGGAATGAAGTAAGCAGGTATATGACATGAGGTATGCAGCAGGTATATGACATGAGGTGATGCAAGCATATGATACATGAGGTGATAGTAAGCAGGTATATGACATGAGGTGATGCAACAGGTATATGACATGAGGTGATGCAAGAGGTATATGACACTGATGCATGTAGTATATGACATGAGGTGATGCAAGCAGGTATATGACACGGGGTGATGCAAGCAGGTATATGACATGAGGTGATGCAAGTATGATATGAGGTGATGCAAGCAGGTATATGACACGGGGTGAGGTAAGCATATATGACATGAGGTGATGCAAGCAGGTATATGACATGAGGTGATGCAAGCAGGTATATGACACGAGGTGATGCAAGCAGGTATATGACATGAGGTGATGTGTGCTAAGGTATATGACATGAGGTGATGCAAGCAGGTATATGACACGTAGATGCAAGAGGTATATGACACGGGGTGATGCAAGCAGGTATATGACACGGGGTGATGCAAGCAAGTATATGACACGAGGTGATGCGCATATATGACATGAGGTGATGCAGTATATGACACGGGTGATGCAAGCAGGTATATGACACGGGGTGATGCAAGCAGGTATATGACACGAGGTGATGCAAGCAGGTATATGACATGAGGTGATGCAAGCAGGTATATGACACGGGGTGATGTAAGCAGGTATATGACACGTGATGCAAGCAGGTATATGACACGGGGTGATGCAAGTAGGACATGAGGTGATGTAAGCAGGTATATGACACGGGGTGATGCAAGTATATGACACGGTGATGCAAGTATGACATAAGGTGATGCAAGCAGGTATATATGGGTGATGTGCAGGTATATATATAGTGTGATGCAAGCAGGTATATGTTGTGATGCAGCAGGTATATGACATGTCGTGATGCAAGCAGGTATATGACATGTCGTGATGCAAGCAGGTATATGACATGAGGTGATGCAAGCAGATATATGACACGAGGAGGTGATGCAAGCAGGTATAGATGATATAAAGAAGTAACGCAGCAGGTATATGACACGAGTGTTCTAGCTGGTTAATTATAGGTTCTGTCTAAGTTAACTAGGCTGGTACATTTATATTATATTGGGTTAGAGTAGCGAAACCCAATTGTTTTTCCTTTTATTAAAACTGCTGTTGATACAATTCCTGAGTGTAAATCAACCGTAACTTCCACTATTTATGAGTGTGAAGAGAGAGGACGGCGGCTATGTAAATAGACCGTTTAATCACGTCCTTTCAATGTGAGATTATGAGTGGGACTGCCCGTGGGTGCCGGCTTATCCGAGCTGACCCATGTGCTGAACCATGCAGTCAGTGGCCGCACCCCAAGGAGGCTACCAATCACGTGATAAGAGCATGACCACTCATAGCCAGTGGAAAGTTACAGGGGATGAATTAGTATATAAAGCAAATGCAATTAACCCATTTATATAATCTTTCTGTTGATGAAACAGGGGCTAATTCGTATTCAGGGACAAGTTGTTGGAGCTTCCAATAACTTGATGACACAAACCATTGACTCTTCAGGCTTCTATGCCCTTGACTCTTCAGGCTTTGCATGCCTCTTAACTCATGAGACATAAAGGCAAGCATGAACTTAGCATGCTTCCTGTTAGGCACTGTAAACGCTTGCGCTTTCACCTTACACAAGGATGTAGGGAGTGCCCAATAAATAAAAACAAAAAAAAACAGGGGCTATTACACGAGGTGATGCAAGCAGGTATATGACACGAGGTGATGCAAGCAGGTATATGACACGAGGTGATGCAAGCAGGTATATGACACGAGGTGATGCAAGCAGGTATATGACACGAGGTGATGCAAGAAGGTATATGACACGAGGTGATGCAAGAAGGTATATGACAGAAGGTAATGATGGAAGCAGGTATATGACACGGCGAGACAGTGTTAGCAGTTGTATGACACGAAAAGATGATGCAAAAAGTCGTACACCAAGCAAAAGAAATGTGCATGTGTGTGTGTGTGTGTGTGTGTGTGTCAGGTCATCCGTTCATCGTACTATAGCTGGAGTC